GTAAATATTACTTGTAGCATAGTATACTTGTATACAGGAGTGTGCACATGAAGATGACATATCAGTTTCTGAATTTGCAGATTTGGTAGGATTTGTTTAATATTAAATAGATATTCTCTATGCATGAGGAGTTAGGTAATATTCATTTAGCTACTAAAGAAATGTGAGATCAGAAAAGGAGAGAAAAAAAATAAAGCTAACCATATAAACAATTATATCATAAACAAATCTCAAGAGAAAATTCTTTCTTTGGAAAAATATTTCCATGGCCCCATTTATTTTTTTCCAATCTACATGCAAATATGTGTTCAGAATTGTGTGTTAAGTTCTCTCAAAATCCAAGGCCTATTAGACTGTCAATTTACAAAAGTTGAAATGCAGTTCTCTAGCTCAGAAACTAGGAGAAGCTTGCATCACTGGCCATGCCTTTATTTAACTAAATGTTAACTGCAAGTAGTTCAGAAAAGACCATGAGACTCAACTGTAGATGCCAAGGTTAAGACATTTTTATGTTTACAATGGTCAATGAAAAGCCTGTGGATTCTCTAGGTATAGGATCTGCACTTGGTGAAACTGAGCAGCATCTCAGTTTCATCCTCATTAAAGTCTTCACCTAAAATTTATTTGGTGAGTTACAAGGAAATTCCCCTCTTTTGGAAAATTGTCTCCCTTTTCTCTTTAACAAAGACAGCCACTATATACAACCTATAATCAGGCAATATAGAAAGTACATAGAGGTCAACTCAAGCCAAAGCTAGCAGGACTGTGACTGAATGCCAACAGGCAAAGTTAGTTCTAAATATTTGTCTTAATGTTTTCATATTCAGCTTTTAATTGCAAGTCATAATAACTTGTATTAAAAATCAATCATAATTGCCTACTGGTCATTAAAAGAAGAATATTAACTGGATGATATACTGTCATGTCAGGCAATAAAGTGGGACTTGGAAATGTTATCCTTCTATTCTTCCAAAATACAACCTGAAACTCTTCTAAAATGATCCAGAAGGGTGATATCAAAACCACTTATTATCAAGGGGGGGTAATCAAATGTCAACTATCGAATGAAAGTAACCAAAACAGAAACCCTGATGCCATACCAAAGTGGAGGACAGCCTTATTTAAAGCAGAAGGGTGTGTTTCGAGTTCTAATAGTGACATCTCCCTAGCTTTAACTTATAGAATATAGTCCCCTAAGAAAGCATGTGCCATACCCAAACATGTGCCAACTTCAGCACTCAAGCAAATATAAAGCCTATGGAATAATTGTAACTATAAGACATCTGTGCCCTGCATGCTCTGGGCTCTGGCCAGAAGGCATCTGTTTCTGGCATCTTTTCTATTTTTCTATTGTCCCCTTTCTGATGTTTATTTATTATAAAGCAATATTATAATAATATCAAAGAAAAATTTTAAAGGAAAAATAATGTAGCATAATCCCACCACCCTAACACAACTGATTTCAATTATCTGTGTTCCCAGTCTTTTTCCATATGCACACTTATTTTTACATAGCTGTAATCCCTGTTTATGTTATTTCAAAGTGATTTATAGATTCTCTCTGAGAACTGGCAGCCTCATTAGAAATAAACAACCCATTGAGCAATGTAATATAATGTAATATAACTATTTACACAATTTTTGAGCTGAGAAATATTATTTATAGACAAACTTCTCAAACTATCAAAACATTTATACAGACAACAGGAAGCAATTTCATATTTCTTTTTTCTTTAGCAATGGAATGTGCTTCACAGGGGAAGGATAGAGTAGGAATCAGATGATTAAACTTAAATGATGGAATGCTATTCACAAGCCTGAAAGGAATCTGGATAACACAGTTAAAGAATAAATACTTGAATTAAATCTTATTATATGACTTGGCCATCCAGTAGCCAAATTGTGACATGGACACACAAATATTTACAATGACACATAGATGAGATCAGCAAGAACGAAGTCATTACCCAACATGGTGACTGATTTGAGGAAATTGTGTAATCCAAAAATCCTCATGGGATTATGACAACGCACCGGATCCTTGTTATAGCAATTTTTTTTCTTAAATAAATAATCTCTACTGTGCTTCACACCCTTCCCTGACTTTCCCACTGCCCTATTCCAATCGGAGGACATTTTGAAATGAACATTCGATCATGTGCCCTCATTATTACAGGGCACACTAGCATCTTTAAAGATCTGGATAGACTCACCTGTGTCAAGATGAGCTCTAAAAAATCCAGGGAAAGGGAATAAACTATGAACCATCTGGAATCCAAGTTGTTCTAGTGTATCAAATGTGAATTCTTCAGCATCATTTTTAGCTTCTCTCTTAATAATTATTAGAAATTTACATAACTCTCCAACGGGGGAAGGGACTTTAGAAACTGTTTTTTTATTTTAAATTTGACATAGATACAAATTTGTAAGAGTAAAGCCCATTGGAATATATTATAAAATCTTGGTAGTGGGATGTAATAAAGTACCTGGCTCCTCATGGTTAATATGCTGAATTGAAATCATACAAGAGCAGCCATTTCTTTGCCTACAGGGATATGAAGGATCACTGCTCCAGGTCTTCCCCCACAAAAAAGGCCTTTATGAAAAGGTTTGGGACCTGGACTCACTCATCAGGAGTCTCACAGTTTTGGTATGTTATAAAAGGGATGCTATGTGACAACTAGGAATTCCCAACCAGGTTTGAGGCTCTCTCCATTGGCAGGGTATAGTTATCAATGTACTAAATTATTTTTGTATCCCATGTATTATTTCATTGAATTCCCTGACACTATGAATGAAAAAACAACATTCAAATACTTATTTTTAAATGAAATAAAAATTAACACTCCCCCTTCTCTCATTAGGACAGTGTGGCATTAAAATATTCAGGCCTAGTCATGTTTTTGCAAAGTATAATATGGTATGCTTCAAATAAATATTTCCATTTGATTTTCTTTTCACATTTGTTGTTTTATCCCATTGTGGACATTTATGGGATGGGGGTTCAAGCCCCTCCAAAATTTTATAGTTAAATAAAACAATAAGAAAATAGGAAATCCACCAGTGGTGTCATCACCTAAACATAAATATGCACTATATGGTTAGCAGAAACTCTAATGAAAGTACTTTCATTATAAGGAATAATGGATGGTTAGATGGATAGATGTACCTCCGCAGAGAAGGAGAGAGACCCAAGGCATTTGCCTCTTTCCTCCTTTTGCTTAATGTGGATAAGTTCTATTCAGATATACTACTAATCAAGAAGATTTCTAAAACACAAATGGTTAGCTTTTCAAAGGCTTTGAGAAACAACTTTGCAGAATTTATAAAATTTGACAATTCATATCTTTTTCTATGCAGACATCCTCTAGATATTTTTCTACTCTCAGAAGATTCAGGAAATGCCAACTGTTGATTTTTTTAATAAATAGGTACATGGTGAAATAGTAGTCAAATTTTCATATTTTCGCCAACCCACAAAAATAATTCAGTTGGACTTATATTTCTTGGAGTATATGATTGCACGCCCTAATTATTTTCACTGGAGAACTTTCAAGTCCTTATGAGCATGTTTCTGAAATTCAAAAGCCCAAAACACTAAGTATGAACACATTATATCCTGAAACAGAAATTGGTGGTATATAAAGAAAATTGAAACAAGTACTTATAGCCAAATGTTGATTGGGATATAGTTTTCACTGACTTCCCATTTCTTACAGAGTTGAATAATTACAAAAAACAAACAAAAAAACCCCCACAAAAAACAAACAAACAAAAAAAACCCCACTTTGTTCTCCAGATTTTTTTTTAATTTTAAGATGCTATAAATTGTCAAAATAAACATTTTTTATCCTATGCAAATGTTAGTTAATGGGTTTGTTTCCCCCTGATGTGTCTATTTTAAGTGCATACAATGTCATAAATACAAGATAGGGTTAAATTGAGTATTTTTAATTTTTACTTATTGTTCAATAAGAATTTCAGTACTTCATACTTATTTTTCTTTTTTGGTTCTTGGATAGAGTTACATCTTGGTTTAAGTATGGTTTCTTTCAAGAGGATTTCCTAGGTTTGGGACCTGGACTCACTCATCAGGAGTCTCACAGTTTTGGTATGTCCTTTTTCACATATCATGAAGTTGAATAAGCTGATTTACATAAATGGTAAATCAACTGCCTCTTAAGCATCATCATGAAAATGTGACAGGATTTCACCATCAGAGATTTATTTATAGAGATTTTTAAAGTCTTTTCTGAACACACATATTGCTCAATGCTTTTGGAAAGTATCTTAAAAGAAACCTTTTCCAGTGCAAGTTCAGGAAAACAGGTACACAAACCAAGCCACCACTGTAGAAGAAGAATTAAAAAATTGCAATTCTATTAGGGCATGGACTTCCACATATTCACACAGTACTTGCTCTTTTTTTTGTACATTTGTTTGTTTGTGATTTTTTTTGCTTGTTTGTTTTGTTTTTATTTTATTTTTATTTTTTGCTTTTTTTTTTTTAAGAAAAACGTTTTAACATCGTTTTTTTGTGTTTTTTTGTTTTTTCTTTCTGGACGTCTAATGACAATGCAAGTGAAAAACATCACATTGGGTAAGGAGCTTTGAAAGAGGTTTGAATGCAAGAGGGACTATTTTCTAACTTAAAAACAAACACAACACTATGAAGAGGGAGTGTGCACCTTTGAGAAACCTTTTTCTTCAAAGTGAATGCACAAAATGAGGGGATTCACTACTGGCTCTTTCGCTTCACTGTGGAAGTGACCACTTTATGGCCACTTCGACATTGCTGCCCTGTTTGGGCTGCGATTCAGGCTTACAAATAAATTACATAATCTTAGGGAGTAGGAAAAGGGCTTGTAAGAAGTTTCTATTCATTAGAAAGTTAAAGAACCCCCACCCCATTTGACTGTCATTCTTCCTTCTTTCCTGTAGCAGAGTTTTATTTCAGTCTTACTCATGAGGGGAGATGGTGCAAGGTAAGGCTTGCAGTCCTAGCGGCTGCTGTTCTTAATTGCTTCCTTTGCAGCGATAATCAGAGGAGTCAGGCTGGAGAGAGGCTTGGCTAATTTTAAAAATGGATGCTGCAAAAGAAAAAAAAACACAAAGGAATAACTGGAATTCTTTCATCCAAACAAGTATATTACTTTACACTTTCAAGCAGCCATTTTTTTCATTAAAATGTATTTTGAGCACCCAATTAAAGATTATTTTATTAAAATAGTGCCAGTGGGGACTTAGAACTGTTGGACATTGAAATTGGGACTCAAACATTTTTTTGTTATTATATGTTTATTTATAGTTTGCAGAGGCAAGATTTTTTAAAGGAAAGAAATAGGGAAAACATAGATACAGAGGCAAAGAAGCATTGAACAGACTGCCAAACTACAGCAGGAAGGCAGGGGAGGTTGGGGAAGGTTGGGGAAAAGGGAAGAAATCAACCGAAAGACTTGTATGATGCATATAAGCATAATCAATGGATACAAGATACTGGGGGGGGGGGTGGCAGGTGAAGACATGTACTGCGGGATAGAGGAGGCCGGGGGGGAGGTCAATGAGGGGAAAAAAGGAGACATATGTACTACTATTTGTAATACTTCAAACAATAAAAAACAACAACACTTCATATCTATTAAACTACTCTGAACTATAAAAAATAAAATAAAATAAAATATTACCAGCTTTTGTCCTTCATATGTTCTTTTTTTCCCCTTCAGTATTATGAAATACTTTGGAAGCTGACTGGTAGAGCTAGAAACTCAGAGTTGGGGTGCTGTAAAATCTCAGTGTTTACAACAGTCTGATTTTCTGAATTACTTAAACTTGTGATTTTATTAAGAGTATCTCACATGCTTGAAAAAATGTCTTTAATCTTGACCCTGAAAATAGTGGCTTCCTAATTGCTAAATCCAATACTGTGCATCCACCATTTCTCTTTTGGCCCCTCTTCAGTACTTAATACAAGTGAACATTTCTTCCTTCTTTGAGATGGCTTCCTCTTTGGGGGCCTGTGACATTTACTATCTTGATTCTTTTCCACAAGCATGCTCACTGACTACTCCCTCCCTATCTTCCCTGTTTTCACCTCCATCTACATCCCATATACTAGAAATTAGCTCTCAGCATTCTCTCTTTCTAATTTAATTCATTTGAGAGATAATTCCCTTTCATGGTTTCAACCTCTCATCAGTTTTAGGGAAATGACTCCCAAATCTATATTTTATGACATGATCTCTTTCCTTAATTTTGATCCTATTTTTCCAATTGCCTACTGGATATTTCCTTTTAAATGTTCTTCCGTCATCTTGACTTCCACATTTAAAAATATATGTTAAGATACCTCACATGTTCCTCTTGTGTGATGTAAACCATAGGGGCTTTGGATTCAGAGCACCTAAATTCAATCATCTTTGCTTCTTACAATGGTTAAATCAGGTAAGGTAAATAACAGTTCCTTGTAAACTACATAGAAGCAAAGACATGTTGCCATTGCATTATCCTATATCACTTTGGCTTTTATTGAATGCTACCAGTGATTATTTATTCTGAAGTCATTTTATCTTCTTCTATCTTATGTTCTACATAAAATCAGCTATCAAGTACTTTCTTTTCAATGCTTCATATAATGATCTTTTGCTTTCCCTAGTTCAGGCCTAATCAACTTTAATTCTGAACTATAACTATAATTTCCCTTTGATCTCCCACCTCCATTTTTTAATGGTGCTAATTTTTATTGCATACTACCAGAAAATTTTCCTAAACAAAGCTTTCATCATTTGATACCATCAGATATCTTCAGTATTTCCTCACTATCTACAATCCCAACTCTAGCCTGGTGTCAAACCCTCTATGGTTTTATTTCCTGTAACTTCCCACTTGAACTCTTCAGCTATACTTTCTGTTTTTTGTTCCCTTAAACCTTGCCTACATACCTTTGGTCACACTATCTTTCAACCATTTGTAATTCCTGCCCCCCTTTTCTTCAACCTATCTAAAACTGATCTGTCCTTCAAAACCCAGCAGAACTCCTTCCTGTTTACAGATATTTTCTGATCACCTATAGAATCATGGCTGTCATTTGGTTTGAATGAGTCTCAAAACAACCTTGCATTTTTTTTATACCCAAGGAGATTGTGAACTTCTGGAGAGGAGGAATCACCCTTAAGAGATTTGTATCCCCACTGCACTTAAGCCTTGCAAATAGGAGTTTCTCAATAAATATTAATTAATGGACAGAGGACTGTAGGTCATATAGAAAGTCACACAAATACTTAATACCTATGTCTTATCTCAAGCATTCCAGTGGTGTAAATGTCATGTAACTCTTACCTTTCTAACCTCTCACATGATCTCACTTACATTTGGGATATAATGATTAACACAATTTGTTAAACAAGAATAGATCCAGAGACAAATGATAGGGGATTTAGAGAGTAACCAAAGGGCTTGTATGCATGCATATTAGCATAATCAATGGACACAGACACTGGAGCACTGGGGGGGGGGGGGGGGCTTGGTAGGGTAGGAATAGCTTGGGGGTAAATTGGGGGAAAAGAAGATATATGTAAAACTTGAGACAATAAAAATAAATAACTAAATGACATAGGCTCAAGTTAGAGAATGAAGTTATATGGACTTAAGGCACTATATGGGTTATTGTTAATATATACAGCATAATAGAGGCCTGGTACACAAAATCCTTGCACGTGGGGGGGTGTCCCTCAGCCCAGCCTGCACTCTCTCCAATCCAGGACCCCTCAGGGGATGTCTGACTGCTGGTTGAGCCCTATCCCTGAGATTGGGCCTAAACTGGCAGTCAGACATCCCTCTCACAAACAGGACTGCTGGCTCCTAACTACTCACCTGCCAGCATGCCTGATTGCCCCTAACTGCTTCTACCTGCCAGCCTGATCACCCCCTAACCACTCCCCTGCCAGCTTGATTGCCCCTAACTGCCCTCCCCTCCCCTGCCAGCCTGATCTCCCCAAAATGCCCTCTCCTGCCAGCCTGATCACCCCCAACTGCCCTCCCCTGCCAGCCTGATTGCTCACTACTGCCCTCCCCTGCTGGCCTGATCTCTCACAACTACCCTCCCCTGCCACAACCTGCCTCCTCCACCAGGACCTGCCTCCTCCACACAAAGTGGCAGAGAGACTGGTCTGCCTCCTCCACGTTGTGCAGAGATGCAGGACCCCCAGGCCTCACTGTGTGGAAAGAGTGAAAAGATGTACAAGTGAAGCACTCAAAAGTTCAGATTTTTCATCTGTAATTTGAGATGGGATTAATTAGAGGATTAATAAGGAACCATTCCAGATTTGAGATTGTAGGTTTCTATGAGAGCCTGTGAAATAAAGGTAGCAAAAAAAGAAAAGGTATAGCTTCCTTAATTCCTTCAAGTTGGTTTATCCCTGGTGTGATTTAGGTTGGGGTAAGATATTTTTTGCCTATCTCAGGAGGGAGTTCAGGAGAAACGGAAATATTTTTCTGTTTCGTTTTTGTTTTTGCCTTGAATGGAATCTATGGTTGTATCTTTTGTTTAAATTGAGTATGTGGTCAAAGTCAGAGAGAGAACAGTCATTACTCTTGAATGTTACATGGCTTGATACATTTCCCTGAGGAGCAGTCCCCAGCAGTGAAGGTACATATGTAACCCTGAGCATGTGTTGCTTTATCAATATAGGTATGGACATACCTTGTTTAATTGTACTTCATTTTATTGCACTTCATGGATGTTGCATTTTTTAAAAATTGAGGGTAAGACTTCTCATCAACAAAAATATTATCTCACTTTATTGTTATATTGGCTTCATTGTGGTGATCTGGAACCAAATTTGCAATATCTTTAAGCTATTCCTGAGATGTTGCTCTAAATTGGTTTGTGTATTTGTGTGGTGGAAAGTCAGACAATCCAGGGATCAAATCCCAGTTTACCACTCAATAGCTATGTGAAGCTCAATTTTTACATCTGTAACTTGGGATAATAATACCTGCCCTATTGGGCTGTTATAAGAACTAAATGAGATAATGTGGGTAAATAATTTGGTAAATAATAGGTACTAATTATTATTGTATATACTAATCCCTGAGAGCCATGAAAAGGACAAATGGTTACTCACACAGGCAACCAGGTGCCTACCATTTGACATCACAAGCAAAGGGGCTTTGACCAGTAAAGCTTTAGAGTAGCAAATGCCATGGAAATAATTGCATAATTATGTAGAAAATTACCTTCAGCCAAGAGCACCTGCATACAATATCCACGAGCACAAGTAAAGTTAAGAACGAAACAGCAACACCAGATATTCAAATTGGTTTTTCCCTTGCAAAATAAGACTCCAGGAAGAGCAAGAGAGATTTTTAGATTAAATTGCCAACTTTTCAGAAGAAAGGCAACATGTCAATCAATCATGTACCAAATGCAAGTTTATACTGATGTGCCTATGGTCTATAGTTTAACTATCACTAGACATTTCTTAACAGAGTTCTCTTGCTGTCGCACATTGAAGTTATAAAAGCCCAATGTAATGACTCTTTGTACTTGTCTTATTTTATTTTCACCTGCAAAAGCTCCTTGGCAGATCCTCGCCTATCCACATCCATCTCAAGACAGCGATTTAAAAAGTCACGGAATACAGCTGAAAGTCTTTCTGGATTCTGGAGTTCTGGGGTTCCATTAGTAGCTATCAGATATAAGGCCTATAGAAAAAATATAGAAATCTATTCAGCACATACATATTAGGATTATGAGTTGGCATAGAAGATACAAATTCAGTTTCTTCTGCTTTATACAATAGATCTTGAAAATTATAGTATACATAATGGCATTGACATATATTTCAATGTTTCTATAACATTTAGAAATTATTACTCTTGGAAGTAACTAAGGTGACAGGCAGATGCCCCATCCCCCCCAAAAAAAAATGGAAATTTTTATGAGGATATTCTGTGAAAGTTAAACCAATAAAAATCCTTATACTATAATGGATCTGTGATGAATCACCTAGAAAATTAAACCAAGAATTGCCTGTGAATCTGTGACTCTAAAGAGTTGGTAAACACATATACATCCCATCATGTTGACCTGAGTATATATAACCTCTGGAAGGCATGGTTGCAAAGGTGATTGTAATTTATTAAGTGTTTATCTGGTTTAAAGAATATCTGTGAGCAGCCCAGGGATGAACAGAGTCCAGTATAGAGTTAGATAACTACAAAAAGAACCAGCATATGACAGTGCCTGGATGAGGGGTAACCTCTGGGGCCTAAAAATTCAAGTACTTTTGTACTGTGGCAAATGTATGTCTAAATGTTTTAATTAGAATCTCCCTGAAGGTCTACCTATGAGGAAAAACTGACATTAATAGTCTTGAAACCAGATAGTTATGTATCCTGCTATAAAATAATAAGATGCAAATAATACTTAAATCACTGTTGTGTAAGGCTGTGAGAAATATCTATATATTCATGGTTTGTTGACAAAACCAAAGACTCCAGGTTGAGAGTCAGACCCAAGACCATCATTAACTCACAAAGCCCATCATTCAAAGGCTCTTGACAGCCAAAAAATTCCTGGCAATTCATTATTATCCTCTAAGCAAATAATTCTAGGGCATTAAATATGCATAAGGTATTATATTAGACATTGGCTATTGAAAGATGAATAGAGAATGTCCTATATTCAAAGGTCACAGAATTTAGTGAGGGAGAGAGATGTAGAGAGATTCAATACAGTGAGATAAGACCTAATCAAGAAACTTAGCAAGTGCTCAGTAAACACAGGATAAAGCAATTTACACCAGAGTTCAGAAAAAACTTCACATACGGGGTTGGTATCAGAACAGCATCTTGAAGGTTACATAGGAGTTTTCCTGCAGGTATTGTCACCAGGGTTATCCTGCCTATGCAACCAATCCCCTAAATACTATGAAGACATGCTCCCTCCTGAACTTGCTTGGGCTTTGCAGCAAATTATCAATCCCTTTTCCTCTTCCCCACTATGGCTACTAATAGTTTTATTAAAAGTACTGGAGGCCCTGTGCAGGAATTCGTGCATGGGTGGGGTCTGACTGGCCCACCCTCATTGGGGCTGATGGGGGCTGGTCCAGCTGACAGGGAGGGGATGCCGGAGGTTGGCCGGCCGACCCAGCCCCCAAATGGGCTGGTTGGCAGCTGAAGTGTGTGTCATAGCAACCAGTCGCTCCAGTCATTCTGGTCACTCCAATCACTTGGCATATATATTTCTATCACCCTGGCTGATTGTCCAGTGGTTAGAGGGTTAGTGGAGTAGTGAAGGGCAGGAGGTTTGATTCCAGTCAAGGGCACATACCTAGGTTGCAGGCACAATTGCCACCTTATTCAGAGCATGCACGGGAGGTAACCAATCAATGTGTCTCTCTCACATTGGTGTTTTCTCTTTTTGTCTCTCCCCATTCTCCCTCCCTTCCACTCTTTATAAGAATCAATGGAAAAAAATACTCTTAGGTGAGGATTAACAATAATAATAATAAATTCTTTAAAACTGTTTTTATCAAAGTCATTTTCCAGGCCAAATTTCAACAGCTGGTGAGAACATCTCCTTTACAGAAACTTCCAGATATATATTTTAGAAAGGGTTAAGAAGGACTGCTTAGTCCAGTGGCCATCAATCTATCAACCTATAGAGTGCACTATAATCACAGTTTGTTAAAACACAGATTCCTGGATCATCCCATTGTAAATCAGATTCAGTAAATCAAATCCAGAGAAATACCCCAAGAATATTCATTCTAATAAGTTCCCTATTTATCCTGAAGTTGCTGGTTCTAGGACTACACTCTGAGAAGTGGTTTATTCCATCCAGCTATTCAGAAGCAGGCTAAACTAGAGGTTCCCGCCATCACCTGGGGATATTTAAAAAATTCGCCATATCCAGTTCTCAGATAATATCAATGAAATAAAAATCTCTGGGAGTGGAACTCAGGCATTGGTATTTTTTAAGCTCTCCAGGAGATTCTAGTTTACAACAAACATTGAAAACCACTGATCAAGGACTTGCAGCCACATAGTAACTCATAAGTACATCAAATTCAAGAGCCACAAAGTCCCATAGAGGGGGATTCTATTGCATAATAATGAGTGGGAATTATAATGCCACATGTTTTTACAAAGTGAGATGAAAGTTTTTCCCCTCCCCAGGATGTTAAAAAAGCCCACATTTAAATACACCCCACTTCAAACAAACAACTTCCCATCCTTCATCCCTCCTAATTATAAATTACTTTATTGATGAACAGCAAATGCAGGTGGCAGATATTAGAACTTCCATGCCATACAAATCAGTGGCAAATCTAGATTTGACTAAAAGGAGGTAATATAGAAAAAGAAACCATAAACTGGTTTTTAGGAAGTTATTGATTGGGGTAAAATATAGTTTGCTCCCCTTTTCTCTCTTAGTCTGTTTCTCTCCTTTCTCTCTCTCTCTCTCTCTCTCTCTCTCTCTCTCTCTCTCTCTCTCTCTCTCTCTCTCTCTCTCTCCTGTTTCCCAATTTCATTTTGACATTAATTTTTATTTTTTCTATCTCTTTATTTATTCCTGTTTTTTTTTTCTTTTTTCCTTCTTACTCTCTTATCCCTTAATTTGCCTTTCTCCAGTGGTCACCTTTATTAGAGGTTATTAATATTTCAAATACATTCCTGTTCAGTGCCTTTTGTGTTGTACCTGGTAGTGTTGTATTTTGTGCCTTTAAATCAATGCAGGACAAAGAGAACTACATATCAGACATCCTAAAAAGAGAGACCATAGGGAGACAAAGAAATAGCCCACACATGAAAGAAAAGCAGGCATCACAAGAAAAGAAGTAAACGAGTTAGAGGCAAGCAACTTACCAGAGCAAGAATTCAGAGTAAAGATCATCAGAGGGATAAAAAGAATGGAAGAGAAATTTGACAATATGAGTAAGAACCAAAAGGAAATGAAGAAGAACCAAGAAGAAATGAAGATGAAACCAAGATGAAATGAAGATGAACCATGAAGAAATGAAAAATTACATTGCTACTATGAAAAACTCAATAAAAGCATCAAGAGTAGACTAGAAGAAGCAGAGGACCACATCAATGAGCTAGAAGACAAGATGGAAAAAAAATACCCCAATAGAGCAGCTTCTAGAAATAAAAAATTAAAACGCAGGAGGAGAGCCTAAGGGAACTTTGGAACAATACAAAACAAAACAATATTAGAATAATAGGGGTTCCAGAAGGAAAGAAAACTGAGGAAGACATGGAAGACGTATTTCAAGTAATAATGACAGAAAACTTTCCTGAGATGTAGAAGAAAAAACCCCACACAAATCAAAGATGCTCTAAGAGTCCCAAGCAAAATGAATCCCAAAAGATGGATGCCAAGGCACATTGTTAATTGATTTTGAAGGCAAGCATTTGTAATGATTGGGTATTCTAAAATTCTCAGAAATATAAAAGCTAAACCAAAAGCTTTTCAGGTTCATGTGTTCTAAAATTACTCTTTAGTAAATAAACTTTGTTGGTTTAAGTAGAAAAAAAATAAATAAATTGGCAAACACCAATGACAAATTAAGAATCTTAAAAGCAGCCAGCCAGAGAGAGACAGAAAGTTACACATAAAGAAACCAACATCAGACTAGCAACTGATTTCCCAAGGGAAACTCATCAGGCCAGAGAGAATAGAATGAAATGTACAAAGTCATGCAAAGGAAGGGTCTGAATCCAAGAATACTGTACCCAGCAAGGTTATCAATCAAAATTGAAGGTGAAACCAGAAGCTTCACAGACAAAAAATGTCTAAGGGAATTTATCTCCACAAAACCAGAAATGCAAGAAATGCTAAAGGGTCTATTGTAAAAATAAAGAAACAGGAAGGAAAGGAGGAACACAGGGGTATAAAATAAAAATGGCGTAAAATAACTACCTGTCAATAATAACTTTAAATGTAAATGGATTTAATGATTCAATCAAAAGACATAGGGTAACAGATTGGTTAAGAAAACAAGATCCATATATCTGCTATATACAATAAACTCATTTCAGAAAAAAAGACGCACACTGACTGAGGGTGAAAGGATGGAAAAAGGTTTTCCAGGCAAATGGAAATGGAAAAAAAAAGCTGGGGTAGCAATACTTATATCTGTCAAATTAGATCTCAAAGTGAAGGACATAACAAGAGATAATGAAGGCCACTTCCTAATACTAAAGGGAGCAATCCAACAAGAAGAAATAACCCTGGTAAAAATATATGCATCCAATACAGGAGGACGCAAATACATAAAAAACAAACAAACAAACAAAAAAAAAACTCCTGGAGTACATTAAGGGAGAGATTAATAGCAATACAATCATAGTAGAAGATTTTAATACCTCATTGTCAACTTTGGACAAATCATCTAAACAAAAAATCAGCAAAGAAACATCAATCCTAAATGATGCACTAGAACAGATGGAATTAATTGACATCTTCAGAATATTTCATCTCAAAGCTATAAATATACATTCTTCTCAAGTGCACATAGATCATTTTCAAAGATAGACCACATGTTGGGACATAGGCAAAGTATCTGAAAATTCAACAAGATAGAAATCATATCAAGCATCTTCTCAGATCATAGTGGCATAAAACTGGAAATTAACTACAATAAAAATAATCCAAAGAAATCAAACACATGGAGACTAAACAGCATGCTATTAAA